GTTGCTTAATTAAACTTGTTTCAATCTATGTACAGGGTCAGTGTAAAAGATATTTATTAAGGGTCAATGTAAAAACAAAAAATTGAAAAAAAAAAAAAAAAATTGAGACATTGAGCCAAAAGAACCCCAAGAAAGGAAAGAGAGCTAAAACAGATAAAAATGTAAGAAGCATCTGAAACAGTTTACCTCCTTCAAAAACATGTGTGCAATTATTTTAGGAAGCAAAAAACAAGCTGCAAGTAGTGCTTAAATTACAAGAAATAGTGAAAACTTAAACTACTCTCTAAACACTTCATCCATTTATTTCCAAATGGTTAAAAAAAAAAAGAGAAATAACAAATTCTTACAACTGTTATTAGAACAAAAGTTTTCAACCTGGAAAAATAATTACATTGTGGCCCCTGACCACCAATCACATTTAACAACACCTACAGAAATTTTGAATGTCACAAATGAGAGATGTGGATGGAGGAAAAAGTGTATGAGATGCTTCTAGTATCTTAGGGGACAAAAATGCAGCAAAACATGCACAGGATCAACATACTTCATTAAAAAAAAGGATAGAGAGAAAGAAAGAAAAAGGCATAATCCTTTACAGAGACAGACTGTTAAAACTCTTCCCCAAAGAGCAGCTAAATTCTTAACCACTGCACCACCAGGACATGCACCGGGATAGCCACCCTATAATACAGAATTAATGAGTTCAAAATCTCACTACTAGTGTTGATGATCCAAGTATTTGTTTTATATCAAGACTAAATAAAAAAAAAAAAAAAAAAAAAGTTTTTTTTTTTTTTTAAGAAGCAGAAGCAGCTTTCTTAAGGGGGCTGGCTCCCAGGAATGATTCCTTGGTTTGGAGAGAAAGGCAGAACAAGGGAAAACCATGCTGTAAGGTGGGTTGGGGCAGGTTTTTATAGTAAAGGTCTTTAGGGAGGGACAGTCCATTTTGGTTTTGCTGATATTCTTTGAATCCTTCATTCTCCCCTGGGAAGTCCGGCCCAGACCAAGACTGAACTTTTAAACCTAAATTAACTGCGTGCACACAATACTGACTAGTTCACTTAAGTGTTTGGAAGCTAAACAGTTGCATCCTAACTATAACTATACATACAAATAAATATATCCTTTATCAAGTGTCAGGAAACATGGAAAACTCTGCTAAGAATTTAAATAAACAAGGAACTCATGCAATATTATTCAAAATGGGTGACCCTGGAGGACATTGTGCCAAGTAAAATATCTCACAAAAGGACAAATACTGCATGGTGCCACTGCTGTAAAATGGGACTGATATCAGAGTTGGGGTAAGACTGAGAAAAACTGGATAAATTGTGTATACTGCACTGAAACAGAGAGGGAGAGAATAATTTAAAAGCAATGTATGATAGGGTATTATGGTTATCACAAGAGTCCACAATTAAGGTTGCATAAAGAATGTACTTGGGGCAGTGGGAGGGGTGCAGGGGGATTGTGTACCAGGGAGGGAGATTTTCTTTAACTTTTCAAAGAGAGGAGAGAATTGGGGGGGGGGCTGCTGGGCAGGGAGAGAAGTGCAGCAAAGAATGAATGGAAATCCAAAATCTCTGTAAATGTTCATTAAAATTATTAAAATTTTAAAAAATTACAAAAAAAAATTTAAATAGTTATTTTTCACTTCAGGGGAGTACCAAGTTGGAGCCCTAGTGGCACAATGTCTAGCCTATCAGGCTGCTAGCCAAATGGTTGGCACTTCAAATCTACCCACTGTTCCTCTGGAGAAGCAGCCTCTGCCTATAAAGATTTACAGCCTAGGAATTCCAATGGAGGGTTGCTAGGAGTCGGAACTGACTCATGTTAGTTTTGTTGTATAAACTGGAATGATATCTAATTCAAAGGTTACTTCATATGTAGTCAAGTTTATTATCATGCACAACACTTTCCTCATGATCTAAATAACTCAGTAAACATTCTGGTAAGTCAATATGCATGAACATTTATCTATTTTCCCCCCAAACATCCTGGAGTAAGCAGAACAGGCACCATCAAGAGATGAGTTAGTTACCTAGTAAAAAAACAAAACCAACATCTACAATGAAATCAATTATCCAGGTACTTAGAAGTAAGGATGGTGAAACTGCATCACATATCCTCTCTCGGTATGCTGTCAGGAAGGGCCGATCCTTGGAAAAAGACATTACGGTGAGAACACTGGAGGATCAGAAAATGATAAGACAACTCTTAAGGGAGCTCTGGTGGCCTTGTGGCAAGAAGCTGCACTGCAATCCCAGAGGTGCCCGGTTTGAATCCACCAGATGCTCTGCTGGAGACCGCGGGGCAATCTCCTCCAGTACCAGTCAGATCCGATTTGACAGTACATACCCACAAAATAATAATAGAAAATAAGACAACTCTCAACAAAATGGATTCAAATAGTGACTGTACACCAATGAGGTTAAACCAGGATGTCCCAGAACAACAGGACAAGATTCCAATCCATTGTTCATAGGAATGCTAACTTGCGGTCAATAGCACAGAACAACGAATGGTCTTCCGTCTCTAAGAAAGAAATATCACCTTCCTTAAGCTTCTTCATGACATGAAATTTAAGGAGAAAAAGTAGTGAGACATACCTATTTTCAACTGGATACACAAAATTACCTTAATTTTTCTAATCACAAATTATTATCCCTCTAAAGATTTAAATACTAAAGACTTCAACAGGATAGTGGAATTGATTTAGTGGATGGAAAGGTGTAAAGGATTAGTCAAGGTGCAACTGGGACTTTAGATGGGTAATAAAAAAACGCAGTTTATTGAAATGATTGTATAAAGATACATGATTGAAAAAATGTATATAAATGTGAATAATTGTACAAACCTTGGTAAAGGAAATACTGAGCACAGAAACGAATGAATGTAAAGCAAATAAAAAAGTAAGTTAAGGTTTAAGTCCCCTATTACCAAGCCAAACTGCCTTCATCCCAGTATGTCAGGGGAGGTAACACTTTGATCTTAACAAAAGTTTGTGCATTCACAAACATTTCCTCTGACCATTATTGTACATAAAGATCTTACTCGTTTAACAGTTAGCTAGCCTTTCTTAAGAAAAACACTATCCTGCATCACCCTCTTCCCAAAAAAAAAATTAAGAAGCATGGTGGATAGTGGATTTTATTGATGTTACTCGGACATTCAAGAGTAAATCTGTTTTCTCTCCCACGGAGGTGCATGAAATGGAGGGTCAAAGCTTCGTTAAAAACAAAAATCATTATGGATAAAATGCCCATCCTCACAGACTTAATTCCCTTCCTTAAAAATCCAAATCTAATGCACTCCTCTGATTGAACGACCTGCAGGAGCCCATGCCTTAAAAGTGTCTGCGTCTGGCTACAGGATTTGGTCCATCCACTTACCCGCCAGATTCCCGTATTCCCCCTTCACAATCAGATCGCAGCTGCTGGAAGGCCCAACCTACCGCGCGCTTAGTGCTCATTGGCTTGATAAGCCGCTGCTCAGGAAAGAAAAACCCGCCTCCCACATTCCGATGGCCCAAGGACCGATCAGTCGGTTGCTGGAGACAGATGCAATTGGCCTATAACCTCGCCAGTCAAGTGCCTGGGCAGCGCAACTCCGCGGCTCACCAGGGATAAAACATCCCGCCCCTGTCCTTCTATTGGTTGGTCCAGATCCCCGCTCCCCCATACACTATCCCCCCCACCCGACGACCCATTCATTTCACACAATAACGAGGCTAGTTGAGAGTGGTTTAAGATCTCGGGTGGGTAGAAAATATTCTCAGGCACTAACCCGGGATTTAGAGTGGTCACTCACGCTAACGTCTCCTCTTTTCCTCTCTGGCAAGGCCGGACCACAAGCCACAGCTGCCGCCGCCTTCTGCGCAACGCCAACCGCCCGCCAAAACGGATCTTTCCCTGCGCCTGCGCAGTCAATCCTGCTACTAGACCCTTTCTCCGCCCATTACGCCTGCGCGACTCCAACCAATACGCAGGCGCTGTAGGTTAACTGTCTGTCCTACCCGCCATTTCACGTGTTCCAAACGGCAGGTGGAACTTCTTAATGCACATGGGTAATCTCGCCATTTTACTACACATGCGCTTTAGTGGTGGTCTTCGGGACCCCTAACCCTAATCTTGTCAAGAGGTATGTACTTTTCTGGATCTAAAGGCCAAAGTGTCTCTCATTACATCATGTAATCACCACATATTTTTCTAATAAAATTAAGCATGCCAGAGGATTAAATGCAGTATTTGTTGTTGTTAGGTGTCAAGTACGACTCTTAGCGACACTGACAATATGAATTGAAGAGATCAAAACCCTGTTTTGTATCATCTTAATTTCTGACATCCTTAAGGACATTGTTGCACTCACTGTCTATCCATCAGGTTGAGGATCTTCCTCTCTTTCACCTACCCTCCATTTTTCATATTGTAAAAGGTAGTATTCAGAACGTGGTAAATACAAAAGTTTAGACAATCTCAAACCTATTACTCCAGAATAAAATTCCAGTTCATAGCAATTCTATAAAACAGGAGAAAGCTCCTTTCAAAAACAAGTATTTGCAATAGTTGCCGCATCTTTCTCTGGTGAAGCTGGAGAGTATAAAGCAACCAGTTCTACAGTTAACAGCGCCGTTTCAGCAGTTTACCACCAGGGTTCCTTTAAATACATATATTCAAATATGAATGATCGACTCACTAACCAATCAGACTAGTTAAAACTAACATTGCTCAGGAACCAATGGATCATAAGGGGTGGAGATAGCATAGACCGCCCAAAGGATGACGTTGTAACAATGTAGTACTAATGACCAATAGTAGGAGAAGGATGTTTCAACTATCCAATCATAACTACACATGAATAGCATTAACCAATCTCAAGAGAGCGAAGGCGGGAATAAAAGGAGAGGCCTTAGGTTGGCGAATACATTCGTGAGCTCGTTCCTTTCTGCTGGAGAACGCTGTCGAGGAAGCATCGCAAAAGAGTTTATTCCTACCGCCGCCATGTCGAAGTCAGAGGTAAGCGATTTTTACAACTCCGTTTTCTTCTTGTCTCCCCGCGTTTCGTATGACTTGAATTCGTTTCGTTGCTTGCACCGGTCCATCCGACAGTTGTTCGTCAATGGCAGGGCCTACCCTTCCCAGAGTTCGAGTCGCCATTTTGTCCTCGTCGCCATGAGGCCGCCACCGCCAACCAGCAATCCTTACACGGGTCTCGTGCTCGTGTTATACCTAGCAGAACTATTGGGCACAATCGTTAATTAAATTCTGCCTCCGTTCAGCACCATTTTATTCTTGTATTAGCGTTGCGTAACTTTACCCAAGACCTTTTGTGGCGCGTGCATTTTAAGGCCAGGAGGGACGCATGCGCTTGATGGTAAACGGGCCTTGACTCGCGACCGTAGCGCCGCCTAGAAGGAGAAACACGTGGCTTGTCCCCGCTGAAAGGAACAATGAGTGCTCGTGGACCCGATGCACATTGAGCCCGGCGAAACAGAACGCGGACCCGAGTGTAACACTTGTCACTTTTCCCCACTACCAGTCTCCTAAAGAGCCCGAACAGCTGCGGAAGCTATTCATCGGGGGGCTGAGCTTCGAGACGACGGATGAAAGTCTGAGGAGCCATTTTGAGCAATGGGGGACGCTCACGGACTGTGTGGTAAGGACAGTGGTCGCAGTGGGCTTTCGTGATTATTTTGTATTTCCCGTTTGAATATAAGACATAAAAGCGTTTTGAAGTTGTGCTTCAACGATCTGGGTTTCCCTTGGCTTTCGTAGCTATCTGGAGTAATGGTATAAATAGGACTTTTCAGTGTAGGAATGATAGTATTTCCTGGGACCTTGAAGCACTTACACTCAACACATTGCCATTACAGGTAATGAGAGATCCAAATACCAAGCGCTCCAGAGGCTTTGGCTTTGTCACATACTCAACTGTGGAAGAGGTGGATGCAGCCATGAATGCAAGGCCCCACAAGGTGGATGGAAGGGTGGTGGAACCCAAAAGGGCTGTCTCCAGAGAAGTAAGTTGGCTATTCTTGTTAGGGTGGTTTTTATTCTTTCTAATCCGCTGGAGTTGTGCTAAGTGAATTCCAAATATTCATGTTCTTGCTTCCGAAGTAGATTATAAATAACAAAACTAACTTCTTATTCTAGGATTCTCAAAGACCAGGTGCCCACTTAACTGTGAAAAAGATATTTGTTGGTGGAATTAAAGAAGACACTGAAGAACATCACTTAAGAGATTATTTTGAGCAGTACGGGAAAATTGAAGTGATTGAAATCATGACTGACCGAGGCAGTGGCAAGAAAAGGGGCTTTGCTTTTGTAACTTTTGATGACCATGATTCTGTAGATAAAATCGTTAGTAAGTATCCCTTACTTGGAGCTTATTAAGATTTTATAATACGTGCGATGTTGAAAACCTGTTTTCTAAACTTTTTTTTACTTTTTAGTTCAGAAATACCATACTGTAAATGGTCACAATTGTGAAGTGAGGAAAGCCCTGTCAAAGCAAGAGATGGCCAGTGCCTCTTCCAGCCAGAGAGGTAATGCTTGTTGCTTAATTAAATCACGATAATTCTGAGTAGATGAGTGTATATGGTCTGACTTGACTTCCCTCTCACCAAAAGGTCGAAGTGGTTCTGGAAACTTTGGTGGTGGCCGTGGAGGCGGTTTCGGTGGGAATGACAACTTTGGTCGAGGAGGAAACTTCAGTGGACGAGGTATATACATGTATAAAAATTAATTGGGGTAATGGTTTTTTTAGAATTTATTTACCAAAACTTTTACATGCAGTTTGCTTTAAACAGTAGATAATGGGAGAAAATTTTCTTGTAGGTGGCTTTGGTGGCAGTCGTGGCGGTGGAGGATATGGAGGCAGTGGAGATGGTTATAATGGATTTGGTAATGATGGTGAGTGGATTTGTTTTTTTAAAATCTGCAAAAGGAACATGTGGGTGTTCTGCTATTCCCTTTAGATTAGGGTAGTAGAGACCAAATGTAGTGCATGGCACTCAATTTTTACCTTAATGCGCATGCTATGGGCAGGCCTTTAGCCATTTGGCTTGCACAGATACTGATTGTTCAATACTTTTGTCTTATTGAGAAGAATTATATTCTTGTAGGTGGTTATGGAGGAGGCGGTCCTGGTTACTCTGGAGGAAGCAGAGGCTATGGAAGTGGTGGACAGGGTTATGGAAACCAGGGCAGTGGCTATGGCGGGAGTGGCAGCTATAACAACGGAGGCGGCTTTGGCGGTGGTAGTGGTAGGTATCGAGTGAATCCAAGTGTTTGGTGTGATAGTTAGACTAGCCTCTTAGTATTGCCCATATTTGTGATTAATGCTCTTAAAAGCATTAAATGTTTGCATGATATATTTCAAAAGTAGATGGGCTTCTCATACTACCTCCTAGCTTTAAGCTGGGGCCGCCTCACTCGGAAAGTGTTCAGTATTCTTTGATTAGATTAGCTTTTCTTACAGGTTTTAGCATAATTCTTCCATTGGCATCTTGGGCACTTAGTTGATGTATCCAAGCTAGTGAGAAGTTACTGTTACACAGTTGATAGGTTACAGAGTACTGGATTATTCAACTTCATCCCTTGCCCATTGAAGATTAAAGTGCAGAAATAACCTGCCGAATCACCAGCGTGTCAGAAGAAAGCATATAAATTTTGAGGTCAAATCTTGTCCTGAGAAACCAACAAAGGTCTTTTGTCCCTTTCTAGGAAGCAACTTTGGAGGTGGTGGAAGCTACAATGATTTTGGCAATTACAACAATCAGTCTTCAAATTTTGGACCCATGAAGGGAGGAAATTTTGGAGGCAGAAGCTCTGGCCCTTATGGTGGTGGTGGTCAATATTTTGCCAAACCACGAAACCAAGGTAGTGTATCTAATGTTGACTGTGTAGCTGAAGCTAGAACTGGAAAAAGGAGCATTTTGGTTTTCTATTGATATTTTATTCCTTTTTTTTCCCCTCAGGTGGCTATGGTGGTTCAAGTAGCAGCAGCAGCTATGGCAGTGGCAGACGGTTTTAGTAACCGCCAGGTAAGTATCTTTTCATGTTTTGGTTTCTAATTTTTAAAATTGCTACTGAATCCAGTAACCCTAATGTAGTTGAGCGGTACAACATAGTTAACATAATTGCAGTAAAATTTTGGATATAAAGTTAATGTTCAGAACAGCAAAATTTGTGGGAAACAACTTACTATTGGATTGTAGCTTTGAGTCTTAATATGCTTAGATTAACAACTTTATTCCATATTGTTCAACAGGAAACAAAGCTTAGCAGGAGAGGAGAGCCAGAGAAGTGACAGGGAAGCTACAGGTTACAACAGATTTGTGAACTCAGCCAAGCACAGTGGTGGCAGGGCCTAGCTGCTACAAAGAAGACATGTTTTAGACAATACTCATGTGTATGGGCAAAAAACTCGAGGACTGTATTTGTGACTAACTGTATAACAGGTTATTTTAGTTTCTGTTCTGTGGAAAGTGTAAAGCATTCCGAAAACAAGGGTTTAAATGTAGATGGTTTTTTTTTTTTTTTTTTTTTTGCACCCATGCTGTTGATTGCTAAATGTAATAGTCTGATCATGACACTGAATAAATGTCTTTTTTTAAATGTGCTGTGTAAAGTTAGTCTACTCTGAAGCCATCTTATTTCAATAAATATCCCAACAGTGTTGAAGTTTAGAATTGATTCAGGATGATGCCAGATTTCATTAAAAACTTAGAAGACTGGGAACAGAAAAGCCATTGTCTACAGAAAATTTGGTGTAGTTGAACTGACAAGTTAATGTGTTGTGACCTGAAGTTCTCCATTAAAATGGTCACCCAAGCAAAGTTAAAAGTAATTTATTTGGTTTTAAAGTGGTCATTGGCACATCCTTTGCAATATATCTAAATTTAATAATGGTACCAGATAAAAAATAATAGATGGGATTGAAATTGATGTATCCTCCATTATCATGTATAATCAATAAATGATTTAATATCTTGAATGGTATGGCAACTGTATGGATTTTGGACTGGCAGAGATTTGGACTTAACCCTACCCACTCTACCCTTGAACAATGTTGAATTCCTCTCACAATTGAAGTTCAAAACTCTGCCAGAGAGACTAAGTCCACAAATTAGAAAGTTTTAGAGAATTTTTTAAAACAAGGCCAATGCCAAATTTTATTCTTTACCAAAGGAAAGGTTTACATTAAAGGAAAACTGCAGTTTTTTGGGGTTTTGGGTGGGTTTGGTTACTATAAATATTAATAGGTTAAGGACAATCCCAAAAAGTAGAAATACAGAGTGAAGATTTTTATTATCCATCCTAGAGATTTCATCTCAACTGCAGTTTTCCTTTAAAGATGGCACAACCATTCTAAATGTTAAGTTGTATAGAAAATTATTTCTAAATCTTTAATGGTTACCAAACAACCAATAATTGTTAATTGTAAATAGGTTCTTTTGAGCCTGCCTCTCAATCCTCATAATTTCAGTACCAATGTATGTGGTAGTACAGATATTCTTGCTAATGCCATAGGATTGTATATTCCATCTTGTGTTGATTGATATTTGGGGGAGGAGGGAGGGAAATGTGGTGGGGTGGTGGGAGGGAAAGCATGGATGGTAGTCCATGGGTTTGATACTGGCTGAGTTTGCAATAGCAGGTGGAACCTTTTAACTGAGGGAGTTTCCAGATACCTCAGGATTCCTGACATTTCCTTTAAAGATCCAGGAGAGATGTTCAGCTACTAGGAACTGCTAGCAAGTATAGCCCGAATGGCTCCGAGCTCAGACACTCTACAGCTGAGAGTAGACACTTGTGGTATGTCAAGTACAGATAAGTGAGCAGGCCACGGCATGCTCCATGAAAGCTAGGAGGGAGTGAAGTTTCAGTGACCATCGCAAGAAAGGAGGCAGACAAGAGTATAAGGCACACCTGACTCTTAGGACTAGCAGTCAGAACCAGGAGGAAAGGTTTTATTGCTATGCTGGTAGGTAAGAACAGATTTTACTTACGTATGGTTTTCAAAAATCCAGTTTAATTGTAAATGTCTTAAAATACTGAGCCAAAAGAAAACTAGTCCAGTTAAGCTGAACTTGGTTTTTTATTTTTCTGGAGATGAGCTATAAATCGGAGTGTCTTAGTCTCTGGCTCCTATTTGAAGGAACTGAACATTTTAAATTGTTTCTACTATATCTATATTGTGATACACATATTACCCTGTAATTATCAATTGATGCCTTCCTTTGACCAATTTGCTTTTAAAAATGGCTCAAAGTAATGTGATAGTCTTTTCCCCAGAGATATTTGTGGGCGGTTGGGTGGACTATTAAGGGGGGGTGGTATTTTGAAGTGGGATATTTTAATCCGAAAAACTAGTTCTGAAGATTGTTTACTTTTCTAGGGAAGAATATGCTACTACAGACTTTTCTGCGTTCTTATAACTTAATACATTTTTTAAATCGTCAGTCAAGTTCACGTAGCTAAAAGGTAAGGGTGTTTTATTTTTAATCTTTGTATTTCCACAATATAAAGTGAAAATAGTAAACTTCAACTCAGAACTAAGAATGATCTCATAATCTGTCGTCAGCATTAAAGGAACCATATTTTCAGTAACAGTGGATAGGATTTTATGAGGCTAGCCAATTAAACTCCTGATTCATGATAACCCCAAATGAAACACATTCTCCATTATCTTGCATAATCTTCACAATTCTGTCATGATAATAACGAGTATTTAATAGTCTCTCTTTTTGCAGGAACATTCTTATGAGGACAACCTTTTTCGGAGCCACTGTGACCATTATTATCACTGCCGTGCAGTAGACAGCTGCTGTGCTGCTCATTCAGTTTTGTGAATGGATTTTTAATAAATTGCCTGTAGTTATTACCTGTTTGCATTTGTGATAATCTGAGATAACTACACATTGTTTTAATTTGGGGAGTGAGGATTGCGGGTGATGGGGATTGGGGTTTTTTTGTGTACCATCAAATCAGATCTGACTGGGTACAGTAGGAGTTTGTCTCCCTCTACCAGCAGAGCATCTAGGCTCCCCGAGGATTGTCTTTTAAAACTGAAATGGAGTATTATTGTTATCCTGACTCCACATGCTGGTGAAGATGAAGATTTGTAATAATAGTGATTTTAATAGAAGCAAGTGTTTGACTGGAGGCTCCACATTTGCTAACTCTTGAAAATGGGGAAAAACAGGTTGCAAAACAATTAAGCAGCTACCACTGAGCTGTGATTCTCTGCTGAGAGCTCTTCTACAGGATTTTATTGGCCAGCTATCCCCCAGTCTAAAAGGGGCATCTAAATAAAGATAATTCTATTTTCTAACCTCAGTTTTAATCTAGGAAGAAATTTGAGCCAAATATTTACCAGTAAAAGCCTTTGCAACAGTAACATCTTAAAAAGTAACAAATGTCAGCCCCTACATTTGAAGAGAATGATGTCTGGTATCTTAAGGGATTGTCCCTGATAAACAATGAGTATATCCAACAATAACTGCAAAAGAGGATAAACAGTAGCTCTGAGGAGGCTTGCTGGTGCCCACTAAGTAGTCAGTTTCCTAGGGATTTTTTTCCTTGTGTACCACCAAATTTGACCTGACTGGCCCAGAAGGAGATAGCCCCTTTGTCTAGCAGAGTTTCTGTTAGATTTGAACCATATGCCTTAAGGATTGCAGCACAGCTTCTTGGCGTTAAGCCACCAGAGCTACCCTGAAGTCTCACTGCTTTTTAATAGACTTCTGAATATTGTTATATGCCATCAAATGAATTTGAACATATTTCTTTTGCCATCCCTGTCCTTTGTCTGATGAATAGTCGGACAACATGCCTAGTAGTTCTGATGGCCTAGTGATAACGGTTCTAAAGGCATGTGATTTGTATTCATCAGGTTCTCAGCTAGAGAAGGGTGGGGCAATCAGCAATTGACTGCCTCAAAACTGCTAGAGGCTCCACCAAATGATTTCTGACAACATGCCCAGGGTATGTGAGATGCTTTGTCATGGAAACATGGGCAGTGCATTGTAACTTCCCATTTTGTTGGAAAGGAAGTGTGAGGATGGTACAGGATAAAACTGGGTTCATAGGGGTGCTATATGAGTTCTTGACACAACAGCACCTAACAACAATGTGCTGGAATTGAGCTGTTCTCCATAGGGTGAATTTTTGTTGAAAGGAGTTAACCAGTTCTTTAGATATTTCTGAAGCCCTAAAATATTTCAGTAAAAGATTATTGCCTGTATTTGGCTACATGCTTTATACTTGGGTAACATTTTTTTCTCAATATTATTGGTTCCCATATAATTGTTTATAAAATTGTATTTCTGTAAGTAAGTGGATTCTAGCACTAGGGAAAATCTAATGGGCTCGTTTTCAAAATTTCAATATATAGAAAACCAGACTGCCACATCTACTCGGTGTCTGGGTTCACACTAGCAACATTTGGCTAGGAACTGAGTGGTTTGTCTATAACTATTAAAGAAGGAAAGTGCTCACACAGCAGCTGGTGGATTTGAACTACCTGTTTGGAAGTTGGTAGCGCAACTCCTTGCCACTTAAATCACTGGAGAATCAACTGAGTTGTGGTGCTGGAGTGTTCTATTGCTTGAAAAGGTGGAGGGTTAGCAAGAAGGAAGAACCCAGGAGGTGGACAACGGTGACTGCAGCAATCAGGACAGGAGAGGATGCAGGTCTGTTAAAAGTCACTAAGTTATATTCAACAGCACCTAACAGGTGGTGATTATGTATCAAGTAGGGAATCAACTCAGCTGATTTAATTTTTCTGAAGCAGTAAATCATGAAGAGCTCATGACAATCTTTCAGAGCAGCTAGGGGATTTAAACAGCCTGCTATTGGATTGGAAGTTTAACCACACAGCCATCACAGCTTTAGGTGCCCTCAACAGATAAGCATAGTGACCTTATGAACAACAGATTGGAAACTTGCTGTAGCCTGTACCATCTTTACAAATCTGACATGCTTGATGCTGTCAGTGTGGCAATGCATCTTGAGTGTTTTGCTGACCTC